TTCCTTTTCTACACGCACACACACACTTACTTTTTAATGCGAACGACTTATTTCGTATTCCTACGATTTCACCTTTTCAAAAAAGACACATTTTATTTCATTTTCATCCAGGTACATGAATCCCACTTTAAGACACAACTGCAAAACTATGGTCGACTTCGGCAACTATCACGTTTGTCAGGACGAGCCGTACGTCATCAAGCCCCCTTGTTTGGTCTACTCCTTTGGGTAAGTTGCGACGTTTAACACAAACAGACTTAACGAATATTTCTTGGTTTTGAGTTAAGCATTATTACTTTTTTTTAAAAGAAAAATCACAAGCAAGCAAGGGGGTGGGCAAGGGGCGGGTGAAAGGCAATACCTGGCTTTCGATCTCTCCTTGACCCCATCCTCCGATTATAATTGTACTGGGCATGTGTTCAGCTCCTTATTCACGACGGCATTCTTTAAATCTACTTCATCCAGCCCCGAGTGTCATTTGAACAGCTTCAAGGCGGTTGTGGTGGGGGTTTGGGGAGGTAGGATGTGTGTCTGTGTGTGTGACGGGACATCTTAAAATCGGATCGTCTTGTGTAGGTCAAATCTACTTCTTCACGGTTTAAAAAAAAATTAAAAAATGCCCCATTTTATCGTTCTGAGCGTTCAACGGAGCGTTAAAATGGACACGCCTAATTTAGATGACAAACCTCTCAGATCTCCAGCATTAGAGGGCCTACTGTAAGACTTTTTAATGTAGTAGTCATAATAAAAGTGGAAATATCTCTTTCTAAAAGTACGGACGGCAGTGGTTGGAATGGGAGGGGGGTGGCCGCTGGTGGTAGCGATAACTCGTAGAAACTTATTTGAATATGATTTAATCTTTGCTTATTCAGTCACACCCGAATATGCGTAAAATTTGTCTTGGAACTGGCCACTAATAATGGATGAGTAGGAGGGGAGTAAATACTTCCATTCTTAACTACTGACTACTGAGCGTCTATTCCAAAATGTCACAAAGATAGAACCTAACGCCCTCAGGTCACTATATTGTTCCATTTACGAGTAGCAAAGTCAACACACATTAAACAAAATGTAAACATTTTTTTCAATATAAATACAATTTCAATTTTTAATAATGGCACTTGTTTATGTCATGTGTTCATTAAATGACGTAGAACGGCGTACTTTTCCAAAGTAAACATTGAACATTTCATTTTTCGAGCCCTATTATTATTCTGTGGCATTAGGCGGCCTAGCCAATGTAGAGTGAGGACAATTATTTTTGCTTGAAGTAGTTCGTTTTGTGGTTTAAATTTTCACATCTCAACATTCCTCTCTATCTTCATGTCCCGATGCTTACCGTTCAGTAGTGGCTGCCTTCACTTTAATACCACGTGTGTTGCAACCTTCAGCAACAACATTGATTTTGAGACGTTCTTTTCGATTTGATAAACTGTGTTGTGATTTCGTTTAACACACTTTATCGAGATTTCTGTCTTGAGATGGGAATGATGTGAGTCAATGCTTAACACACTTTTTTGAATATGTCTCATTGGGAAATGGTGTAGGTGGGCCGTCCAGTTATACGAGCTCTCAATGCCCTGCCCAAGCACACCTCCACAAGGCCGAGCGCCGGATCTCCCCTCCCAACAGACCGTGCGGCGGCACGCCGGAAACCTCCTGACTTGCCTTGGGGACGCCCGATCGACCGAAAACATTGCGCTTAAAGCGTTCGCGGTCCACTCTCCCCAAGAGTCTGGGTTGATTTGCTTCTACTTCGGAGGAAAGGTATTGTGTTACTAACACCACCCCCGCGGCACCCATTGAGTCTTTCTGTCTGGACGGAAAGCAGAGATGAAACGGTAGTTTCGTGAATCTACGGCGCTCTTGTTCTTAGGCTTATAGTCTAATCGAGACAAAATGCAAAGCATTAAACAATTTTTTCTCTCACCTTTTTCTCCACTCTCTTTCTCTCAGCCTCTTTCTCTCTCTCTCTCTCTGTTTCTCTATTTTCATCCCTGATTATCTCCACTTGTTCTTCTTGTAATAAAGCCGTGACTGTATGGTTATCCCCCGTGCCTCAGATTTTTTCCAGCTCAAACGTGTGTCCGTTCTCTGTACTTTAGAGAACAGCCGTAGAAACCGATACGAATACAGGACATAGTGTTTCCCCAGTGTACAGCAGCTGTGGGTTTTCTGTAAGCCAAACAAGGAACGAAGTCATTTGAGTGTAAGGCGCCCCCAGGTAGTACATGGAGGAAAAAAATGTGTGCATCAATAATTTCATCAGCTGCATGAGCACGACAGCTACTGTGGGGGGAAGGGCTTCGGGATGGTTAATCTTCAGTACAAGAAGCCACACCAATTAGTTATGGACATCAGGCTAGCATATACTTAAGCCAGCTTAGTATAGGTGAATGTGGGGGGTGGGCTGAAAAGCAGAGGGGGGGGGGAAGATCTACTTAAACATTCGGTAGTAGGCATAATTGAAATAATAATAATTAAAAGTAGAAAGAAAAATGTATTTCTTCCATGTAATTTTTTTCTTGAATTTAATCATAGATCCTTTAAAACATACGTTTGTAAGCGCACTTGCCTTGCGTAGTGTAAGGGCAAACTAAGATTTATAGGTATATAATTGCCTCGTAAATATAAAAGATAAATCAAACTCAGAGACACTGATGTCCTCTGTTGCCATATTGAGGCACGCACTCTTGCCTTGATGAGAAACACCTATGCACATTGAAACACAGCGAGACCCACGGATGAACATTTAGACACACCGATATATTTGAAACATCGATACACACTGATACACATTGATACAAAGTGAGACTCATCCTAAGTTTATTTTTAAATTTACTTATCGCAGCAACGAGGGGTTGGCCAAGTCTCTGAACAAGTAGAGCGCATTTAGAACGTATTTTGATATGAATTTCTTTTAATATTGGTTTAAATGTTAACACACAAAGTGACAGGACCAAGATTATCCGATGATGATGATAAGTTTATTATTAAAAAAATTTCTATATGCAAATGCAACCAAAAGAAATGGAAAAATTCTTACGTCCAACTTATTTTTCTTTTTCGTTGATACATCTATTAATCAAACATTTGTGTGCGATTTAAAAAAAAAAATAATAGTTAAAATATGGCAACGCTAGTTTTAACATATCACTTCCCCTCGCTCCTCTACTGTTTGAATATCTCTTATATACGCTCCACCGATAATGCAATATCTCTACCACCAGTTTCACCAATGTTTCTGATGTGTCTTGCATCAGTTCCACCAATGTTGTACTATCCCTACCATCAGCTCCACCAATGTTGTACTATCCCTACCATCAGCTCCACCAATGTTTTACTATCCCTACCATCAGCTCCACCAATGTTTTACTATCCCTACCATCAGCTCCACCAATTTTTTACTATCACTACCATCAGTTCCACCATTGTTTTATTGTGTCTTCCATCAGCTCCGCCAATGCAATGTTTTCTTATTTTGTCCACCACTATTCAAAGAGTTCTTGTGTCCTTTCCTCCACTGTTCTCGTCACGTGACAGGGACATTGCACTAACGTGCACTCACTCTAAAAAACACAGGTTCACACCTCCGACTGTAGCCGTTGGCTGTAGTCGATATCAGTCATTCAGAGATGCCAGGCGATGAGAGGGTGCACTTTCGCTAGGACAGTTGACACGTTGCCACGAGAGATGGTCTCATTCGGCAGTAGTCATATTTAAGAACCTTTTATAGTACTCGTTGTTACTGTTGTTCTAAATATGCCTCCGTCAAGTTATCCTTCACTAAGTAGGTTTAAACGAAGACATACAGCTAACTTGACAGTAGTGTTATGTGATACAGTCTTGACGCCCGTTCTCCTTATACGTTACATATTGACATTGTGTTATCTTAACGTAAACCATTGAAACTTGGAGTTATGGCTAAAATAGACAATTAAAGCCATGAATTCATGTGCCTGTTTATTAAAATTAAATATAATTTTACTTTTATTTCGCATTATTAACAATGCACTAAAACGCACTAAAATTTACAGATGTTTGGGTTTTCCCCATAATGTGATTACGATGCAAGCGTAAGATCATAAATTTGCAATAATTAATTTTTTTCTTAATTTTTACATTCAGATAAAATGTTTGAAAGAGTTCCAAAGTTTTTACTTTAAATGTCTTTGTAATTTATAATAATAACACTTCACATTTTATTAAAATAAAAACGGATATATAATATTTTTTGCGCATTTAAATGTATTTGATTTGCGTAAAATAACAGAAAATAACTATAATTGTTTTTAAGAATCCGAACGTATCTAAATACTTTCGGTTATTTAGCGTCGTGTCAACATAACTCATTCTTATATATTTATATAGGCCAAAAAACAATTGTTCGTGAAAGTAAAGTTCCATCGGTAAAAGAAACTATGAAATATAAGTCATTTATTTAATTCTTTAAACAGGCAACTAAAAACAGCAAGGTGTCTGGGCACAATATTTTGGTAATGAGTTCTGATCACCATTATATGAACGCTTGCTTTGTATCAGTTACTATTTACCTCTATCTGACCAATAGCTGGATATTTTGTGCTAGTCACCTTTAGTTTCAATTATTTAATTTTTTTTTTTTTAAACATCATGTTTCCCATTGATTTACAGTATCGCCAACGACTTTTCATTTGACGACGCCTTGGGAAATTTAAGCTGTACGGTGGCATCGTTTGACCCCAGGTAAGTCACGTGACTGAAGCAGTAACTTAGTACACACTCCCATCCTCAGGCTCAAGATTTATATTAGCTGAAACTCCCAGTCGCACAAATTTTTCATACCAAGGGTTGTTAGACCAAAACTACCCAAAATAGAGAGGCGGAGTCAGGGGAGTACTGGACGACCTAGAAAATCAGTTGAACTGCTGTTCTCTTGGAATTTTTTTATGACGGATGCGGACAAAAATTATAATCGAAATGTGGGGGTGTGGCGTTGCAAATGTGGGGGTGTGGCGTTGCAAATGTGGGGGTGTGGCGTTGCAAACGATTATAACCCTTGGTTAATGCTGATGTTTTATCATTCGTGATTGAAAAAAAAAATATTTTTTAGCCATTGACACAATTTGTTTTGTAATAATCCTCGCAGTATGCACACAAAAGATCACGTGAGAAGTCCACATGTGTCCTTCTACAACATGGGCATGGGAGCCATCAACACAAACAGTTTTGTGCCGAACAAGGACAGCTACGTTAAGGATGACCAGAAATGGAAGATCAGGACGTTGAAAGGTGCCATGGCGGAATTGGGTCACCAAAATGTAAGTCACTCGTGATGCGTGGTTGTATTTATTTGTAACAAATCAATGTTGGTATTAGGTTTTGAGTGTCCCTTTATAATTATTTGGTTGATCCTAGATATGTCACTTAGTGAGCATTTCACTCCACAGTCCTAGAACGAGGGAGCAGCATCAAACATTCTCACATCTTTGATAAATTGAATTATAACTTTACAACTTCTTTAGAAATTATATATTTTCTTGATATCAATATATTTTAAAGCAATTTTTTTTTAAAAGGTGTAATGGGACAATTGGGTCACCAAAATATAAGTTACTCCTGGAATACTGTCAAATACATTTTTAACAGATTGATATTATTGACCTAAACTTACTTCCAAAACCTCTCAAACAGAAAAAGAACAAATCAAAACCTAATTCATATACCAATCTTTCATTAAAAAACAACAACATTAAAAATAAACAAGCTGTCTTCATATATTGATTGGGTGCATGTTAGGTACTAGGACCAACTCATCACTGCGTAGTCCTATAAAGAGGGAGTAACAGCAAACATCCCCACATCTTTGATCAATTAAATTACAACATTATCTTCCGAAATCATTTACTTTCTTGAATTCTGAACATTTAAAAGACATAATTTTTTTTAAAGGAACCAAAACAAAAAAATAATAAGTAAAATTTTGTTTTTATTTCTTTAAAAAAAAAAAATAGATCTAGTAAAGACAACAAAAAAGTGAACGGTTTTAATTTAAAAGATCTTTTTTTTTTCTTTTATTGCAGCGTGTACTGGATGTTTTGAAAATTGATATTGAATATTACGAGTGGGCCGTGCTGGACAATATGTTTGAGACAGACCTGTTAAAGAACATCCGGCACCTGCTGATAGAGTACCATTTGTTCCCTAATAGGCCGGACAAAGGCGACTATGTTTACCATTATCATGTAAGGCTTAAAATAATTTCAACATGACCCTTATCAACGTATAAGCCTTAATGTCATTCCAATATCCCACCTGGCAACATAAGGTTAAAGGTAATTCCAACACCCCGCCCGGCGGCATCAGACTTAACGTATTTCCAACATACCACAAAGCAATATTATGCAAAACAAAGTTCAGTTCCTATGCAAGTGAAGGAGCTCAGAACCAGTGGCGTCTCTGGGTTTGGTGCCAAGATATTTGACACACATCTTCCGAGATGTACAAAAAAAAAAAAGGATTTCCTTTTGATAAACATCGGCTCATGAGGATAAAGAAAAAAGAAGTTCCGTCCGAGGGGGTACCGAATACTCCGCCTCCTTCCTACCCAATGTGAAAAAAAAAAAGCTTACCTTGACATATACACTTAAATAGATCCCCCCCCCCCCATAAAACGCACCCTTCACAAAGACCTCATGATTTTCCTTACATTATCAACATAGTCATAAACGCTCCTTTATTTCAAGGTGAGAAAAACATATCTATTTCTTGGACGCATCGAATTCCATGTACCGACACTGTTGCAGGTTGACCTCGGGGAAATAGGTCCGATACATTTACCGAAACTCGGCTTTTTATTTGTCGTGGACGGGGGTTTGACGGGACGGTCAGTGCTGTTTTAATTCCAAACGGTTCCTGATGGAGATGACGGAAATGGTACTTTTAATTCTGAGGATCGATTCAGACTGGGTAAAACATTGATAGATTTTTCGATAAATGGTGTGCTCACCTGTTTAGAAACAAATGAAGAGATGACGTCATAAATGTTTTTCTATTGTTCGACTAAACAGCCGCAGGCGTCCCCTTTCTGTTCAAAGTCCGTGGTAATAGCAACAATAAAGTAGATTTGTAAAGAGGGAGAGCAGGAAACCTTGACTAAACACCCGCCTGGGGCGAACCCAACTTAACACTCACAGACACGCACACACACACTCACTCACACGCATACACACACAGAAACACGTACGTATGCACTCGTACACATATATATCGATTTATAAATAAATAAAACCATATAATCTTCCCTAGGTTCGACACACTTTGATTGCATTTTTTCCTTGACATTTGATGTTTCAGTCACTGAACCGCCTGAGGAGGCTTGGATTCCGCGAATACCACTGCAAGGCCTGCTGCATACGAACGACCAACGCCAGCGATTTCAACTACCAAAGTCACATGTCCTATGTCAACGCGTTCTTCCAGCCACCAGCATCATGATGCATCCTAATTGTGGCATGAAATGTATTTGTTAACATTTGAATTTGTTTTCCCACATTAAAGCGGGAGAGTAGTTTTAAAGTTTCAGGATGGTGTTAAAATTTATTCTAAAAGTTTTTATTAATAATATTTTACATGTGCATTTATTTGAGATTATGCCTAGCACTGTTGTTATTTAAGGTTAAAAAAACAAAGAAGAAAAAAATCCTGTTTTTTTTTGTTTTTTTTAAATACTCCACACATGTGTATAGTTATTTTTTTCCTATTCTTATTATTTTTGATTTTTTAAAGTTTTTAAACATTTTTTTCTTTGAGCCTAACGCGCTCTTAATATCGAATTTCGCTCCAATTATGCCTCATTAAAAAAGTCACAAATTAAATAAATATGTCTTTACGTCCCTTCAAAAGTGTTTTTCTAGATCAGTTTTTAGCCGAGTGATTATTTTGTCATGATGAGAGATTTTTTTTGTCATGATTTTGCTGAGCTCTCTTAAAGGAGTGTTTCTCTCTTTTTATTTAAAAAAAAAAATATTTCAGCGATTGAATACCGTCCGGAATTAAAAATTACTTTAATAAAAAGATCTAGAGAAAAAAATCAATTTTAGGAATGCAAGCTTTGTCTCAAGTTCGTTGCATGCTCTTAATTTTAAAATGTGATTGTGCTTAGTCTGAATGGCAATGAATATCAAGTTGTTTTAATTAAAAAACAATTTTCATAAATTAAAATACATTTTTCTCAAGGAACTTTTATAAATGTTTATATGTTGGTGCTCGGTTGGTTTGAATCCAGACACACCAGTAGCTATTTATTGTTGCTTGGTTGGTTGAATCCAGACACGCCAGTAGCTATTGATTGTTGCTCAGTTGGTTGAATCCAGACACGCTAGTAGCTATTGATTGTTGCTCGGTTGGTTGAATCCAAAGATAATAATTGATGGACCGCATTCAAGTTGTCTAAATTAAATATGAGGACAAGTTAGCTCAGCTTAAGTTCATAGACCGGACACAAGATTTATACGTTTCAGCTTAAAGCCTTCATCAGGAAAAAAGACAAAGAGTAGTAAGACAAGTGACAGAGCACAGTGAAAAAGGACTTCGGGAAATTCCTTTTGTTGCCGGAAGAAGTAGTACAGGAAGTAAAAAAATAGGAATATTGGCACTATGAAAAATAAGGTAGGGAATCTTAACAGATCAAAATAGTTAGAGATACATAAAATCTAAGAAATAATAAAAAAAACAACAGGTAAATTGAGAAACATTATTAAGATATTATTTGATTCATACCATCTGGAGAAATTGTCCCGAAAAGCTGAATAAATTAGTTTTTGGTTGAATCCGGGCATACCAGTAGCTAGTTCCCAACTCTCACCTGTAACTGAATAGCTATTTCAGTGAATTTTCAAGGTATTAAAACTGCCTTGAGTCACTGTGTCAAACCTGGCCGTTTTCTTAAATGCCACGCCTGCCAATTAGTCTCAGAGAATCTCATACTGTTTGAAATACATGGGAATATACTCACTTTCAATATACCAACCTAATGAATTAATATCTCTTTACAAATAATCGCTTCATTATCTCTGTGATTTTTTTTTTTTGCTTTCTCTTTTAGTCTGTTTGCGTTAATGTCTAATAAGTTGTTAAGATCAAACAATATTTGTATTTAAGGGTTGGGCCGGATTTATTTTTGCTGAGTAGACACGTAGCTATTCCTCTGTCGATATTAAAGAAGGGTGAAATCGGGGACAGATTTCCACTATTCCGACTATATACAAAGGTATAATCAATAGTGTGCCTGCAGTTTGCTTTGTTATCTCAGGCCCACGGCGGAAACATCATATTTCATGGGTAAGTTACACAAATGTTTTTTTCTCAGGTTAAACGCTGCAGGTGCTCACATGATGACACGTTAGTTTCCCTCCGAAAGTATCAATGCATCGCAGTCTGAATGCGTCAGACAAAGAATCTATTCAAATACCACGGACCTCGAGATGATAATAGATTTTACTTTTTAAAAAAAGAAGAAACAAAATGATGTAAATCATCCATAAAAATATCAAATAATAACGACCTCAAAGAGATCGGCCTCGTGGCTGAAGATATGTCACGCAAAGACCACATGTCGGCCTAGTAGCTGAAGATATGTCACGCAAAGACCACATGTCGCAACCCAAATATGTCGTTTGAATCCGTGATATAAACCAGTGGTTCTTAACCAGGGGTGACCATACCCCTTGGGTCTGAGAGGCAGTGCAATGGGTCCGGGAGAAACCAGAAATATAATACCCAAAAAACAACAACACACGTACAAAACAGCAGACGCTTTGATGTTTTGGAAGTGAATTTGGCTAGCGCATAATTTTTTTTTTTTCAAGGTCTGATTCTAGTCCGATAATTAAAGAAAGAAAACTATTTTTTCCCCATTATTTTCATCTTTTCAAAAAGTTCATTTATTTTATCCTGGAGGGAGTGTGCGTAAACAGTTTTTCAAATATAGAAGGAGTCTAGCGTTGCCAAATGGTTGATGAAATGATATGAACAATACTAAAATAAAAAAAATCCAAATCTAGAGGACTAGAGGATATTCTCCTTACACATGTTCCATGCAATATAAGGACCCGAAGGCGTATCTTGATTGCCAACCTTTGGCACCAAACAAGCTTCATTACGCTCTATCTTTAATACGTCAGAAATAAGTTTCTTCTTCTTACCAAGAAAATAGACGCCCGATTGTTTTAATATGCAGAGTATGCTGACAAACCACGGATACCACAATGCATGTAGTCAACGAAAATAATGTTTGACAACCTAAGTCGATTTCATCATTCAATGTTAACATGTTCCTGCGTTTTCGCATTATAGAAGGAAGAAGACCAACGTCGTTATTACACACACACAAAATGAGGTTTGTTTCAAGACATTAATTTCGAATTTAAAGAAGAAAGGTTTGTTTAAAATCTTGAGTCTGCAAAAAGGCATGCTATCCAGAGAGTTCACTAATTTAATTTTATAAAAGATAAAACATAGAGCCCGCACGGTAAATTCAATGCTATTTTCAGAATCACGCCCACCCACCCCCTTCCTTTTTCCCCCCTCACCAATAGCACAGAGAACGTGTCTAGAACTCAAGGTAATGTCAAGTATGGGAGTTCACTTATAATTGTTGAGACTCAACATTATGTTTCATTGCGCGCGGTGTGTGCTTTTTTTAAAAGAGATTAATCAGTTAATGAACGCTCTTGCACACGCTTGACGTATTTTATGCTCATTGTGACGTATTGTATAGATTGTTGTGTGACGTACGTTTTTTATTCGTGCGGCAGTCGTGAATGGAGCTTTGTGAAAGGAGGTTGAGTTTTAATCCTCTCTGATAGCAGGCTGGGTAGCCGAATGGTCTAAACTGAGCTAACCTCAATTCCAGCAAAGACCGGTCAAGCAACAACATTACCCCGGGTGGATGAGACTCGTTAACCTTGGTCGGCAACTCATCTAAGAGAAGGAAACTCTGAATTCAAACCCGGAGTTGGAGTCCCGTAAGGCGCATACAATGACAAATCCTGCAACCGTACCCATTCCTGGTCGTCTTGACGTAGAGTCTTGCCACTGGATATGGTGGGCTCGGACGAGAGAGTGAGGTTGACGCCGCGCAACTCTTCCTCAGTTTAAACAAAAGTCACTAGCGCGAGTCATCAGTCACCTGAAGACTCGATGGTCATCGTCGATCCTCGACGGACGAACAACAAAAAGGATAGCAGGCTGCACTATGCATGTGTACACG